GGGGAAGGGAGGAAAGGGGAGGGAGGAGGAGGGAGGAGGGAAGAAAGGGAGAAAAGGGTGAGGGAAGGAGGAGTTAGGAGGGAGGGGGAGGAGTGGAGGAGGGAATGGTGGAGAGGAGGAGGGAATGGTGGAGAGGAGGAGAGCCAGGAGAAGAGAGGGAAGGTTTAGGCTTCACACAGAGGAGACAGGTGGTTTCTGCTCTGTGATGTTTGGGGCCTGAGCTGGAAGTTTCTAGAATGGAGCTAGGCCTACTGGAGGAGCCCCCTCTGCTGGCTCTGGGCTCCCGCGGTCCTCAGGGTGGTCTCCAGGCTCTGGGCTCCCAGGTGCCCTGGGTCCTGCTGGTGCGGTGCCCAGTCGCAGGGCTCCGGAAGGCTGCGGCTGGGCGCAGGCCCACCGCTGGCCCGCACTTCCCTTAGGGAGGGCCCACACCATCCTCACACTGGGCTCCAGGGAGGCAGCAGGGTCTCGGGAACCCCGGTTACTGGGGCCTCAACACGGACCATGCACAGCAGGCCACAGCACGTCCATGCGGGGGAGACCTGGGCACGGGTGATGGGGAGCGTGCGTGGCTGTGGTGTGCACCCACAAGGGTGTGTGCAGGGGTGTGTGGGGGGGTGCGCAGTCTACACTCAGCACAGATTGCACCGCGCATGCACATCTGCACGCAAGTGCAACCGTGTATGAGCGTCGCCCAGCTTGGGGTCTGCTGCAGGGGCCACACTGTCCCAAAGTCTAGACGCTCCTGCAGAGACGCCCAACACCCCCACGGTGGAACTGGTGAACTCCCAGACTCCAGCGAGTCTTTCACTGTCCTTGACCAGCAGGAAAGCACCTCCAAGGTATTAACTGCATCTTTTTGTCACCTCACACCAAACTGCTTTATAATAAAAAATAAAATTACTTTATTGTATGCAGACCTCGAGTTACTCATTTTCATTGCTCAAAAAATTTTATGAGCTCTAACATATGGAAACAGCGTCCATGGCCCATAATCCTTTAAAATGAGAAATCATATATTTTCTTTCCCGGAATGAAAGGCTGGGCTGGGTGAGGAGTGCAGAGCGAGCTGGTGACCTTCCTACAGGCTCTCGGGGAAGGTCACTGGCTTTCTCGGTGGAAACACGCAGCCCACGACAGGTGCGCTCAGGTGGGCTGGGCGAGGGCGGGGCGAGGGCGCGGTGCCTGCGTGAAGCGTGGCTGTGTCTGGCACTGTGCAAGTGTCCGCCCCACGCGTGGCAGTGGCTGGTGTGGGCAATGACCAGAGTGAAGCTGCTATAAACCCGGCCCGACTGACTTGTGGCCACCTATGGGGCCCTGTAGAGGATGGGGGCGTATGCGAGTGTCCGCTCCACCCTACCCGCGGCTGCATCTGTGGGGTCCTGCAGGGTCCAGCACAGGGGTGCAGCCAGGGTCCCCTAGACACCAGGCAGCCCCCAGACCCAGAGTGACTACAGAGCTGTGCCACTGCCACCCGGAAGCCAGGGTCATGGGGTCACCCGTGTAGCCGACACCACGCCTCATGCTCAAGGCCTGACCACCTGTTAAAGCCTGCAGCCTGCTTGGGGCAAAAAAGCCGCCCTGCAGAGCCCACCCAGAGCTTTTCCCTTTCTTGAGAAAGCAGCTTGCCCAGGGCTCCACCCTGCACTGCCTGCACCCAGTGCCTCAGCTCTGGATTTGCCCTGGTGCCTGGCACACGGGAGCCCTGGGTGGGTCATGTGTGCAGCTCCAGGCCCTCTATGGATGGAGCTGTTCTGTGCTCCCCTAGGGTCCGCCTACCTGCCCGGAAGGTGGCTGCAGCAGGGTCTCAGCTCCAGGAGCCATCTGGGCACCTGGTGAAGCCAGAACCAGGGGAGAACCAGAGAACCAGAAAGGCACCAGCTGGGAGCTCTCTGGCCTGGCCAGGGCCTCAGGCTCATCCACCAGGCCTGCAGGGGGAGGGTCAGGTTGGGGGGCTGAGTAGAGGTGCCCTCACCTTGGGCCTGCCCAAGGCTCTGGGCAGTGTTTCCTCCTTAGTACACTCCTTGCCGGTCTTGAGGCTTCTCACCAGAGTGCAGCCTCTGCGGCCTCCTCCACCTGCTCCCCTGGGTGCGCTCGTGGCAGTGATGGAGACTGCATCTCTACCCACCCGTGGAATGAGTGTGGTGATCAGGTTTCCCCTCCCGCCTTGGCATCAGTGAGCCATAGCTGTGGTCTTACATGCATGCCTGCGGGCGGCTCCTTGAGCATGGTGTGGGCGGGGGAGAGGGGGCGCCTGAGCTGGAGGCGGAGGAGGTAAGGGCAGGGACACCGCAGGGCATAGAGGACACGGTGGCCAAGGACCGCATGTGGCGAGAGCAGCAGAGACCACGAGAGAAGCCAGAGAGCCCAGGCGGGGTGTGTAAGGTCCAGTGGATAGAATAAAGCAAGGAGACAGAAGTAAGAGAGGAAGGCTTTATTACAGCCCCCACCTCCCGTCCTGATGCCAGTTCAGCAGCTCAGTTCATCTTGATACCGCTGGATACTGACATTCCTTTTCAGAATTAGTGCTCTGGGGGCTTGGGTGAGAGGCCTGAGTGGCCTTTCAGAGCAAAGATTCACCTGGGGCTGGGATGCTTGCCGGCCCCTTACCTGTCCTGCTCCTGGTGCCCACTACAAATGTTGTAGAAAGATCACGAAAAGCCTGAAACTGCCACTGAGAGCCTCAGGACTCTCCTGTCTCCCCACTGCTCCCCTCAGCAGTGGATTTCAGTAGACCCACCTGTTCTATTCCTCACTCTGTCTCTGGTGGATCCTCTCACCCCCTGCACCTCTGGCCTCTACCACAGTTCTTGTATGCATAAATAAATCTTTTTTTAAAAACGAAACGAAAAGAAAATAGACATAAAGCTTATGTTAGTATAATAACGAGGCTACAGCCTGAATAATGCTGAGACCGTGGTCCGAGAGCAGGCCTGCGACGGGTGGGGGGCTGGGCTCTGCCGCTTCTTGCTGTGACCTGGAGGAGGTGGCCCTGAGCCTGCTCTTTCACCCTAGGGGAGCACACCTGGGCCAAGCAGTGAGCACACCTGGGCCCCCAGGGAGCTCCCCGCCTAGTGGGTGAGGCACTCAGGAGGGTTATCACCCTCCCAGCACAGACTGGCCAAGGGAAGTCTCTCAGTTTTATTATAATTGATAATATAATACAATGACATGGTCAAGTGATCAGGTCTTGCCAGTGGCCACAGGGTTAATGCCAGTAACCACAACACCAGCAAGAGTCACCGTATCTCAGAGAAAGCAGCTTCTCTCTTCAGGCCGTGCTTCTGATACCGGTGCGTGCCAGGGCTTGCAGGGAGGGGTTCCGTGGACCAGCAGGTAGGAGCGATGCCTGCTGGGGGCCCCTCCACCCTGTCCTGCAGTGGGCCAGGCACACAGCAGGTGCCATAAGCGAGCAGCCACACCACAGCCACCTTTGTCCTAGCCCACGATGCTGATGGGAGGGAGGCTTAGATGGTCCATCTGGAAATGGTCTGGGGTTGGGGTGTCACCTCCCCGCCTCGCCTAGCTGTCAGCGTGGCACCTTTTCTAAGGCAGCATGGGCGGTGTAGGCTGTGACTTCCGTGGGGGTCCTTAAGGGTGACATGTCCTTAGGGGTGTTCTGGATGTAGCAGGTGCTCCCCAGGACTTTGTTTTGGGAGTTGGCTTTGTGCCCTCTGGGGCATAGGGAACCATTCAGGCTTAGGATAGAAAAAAGGAGCCTTTTCCCATCACGAGACCCTGCCCCCCTGAAATGGCCAGGGAGACTTCCAGGGTGGCCAGAGGCCTTACAGAGGCCAGGAACCCAAGCCCCTCTTTTCTGCTGAGAGGCTCACATGGTCCCAGGGCGATAGAACTACTGAGTCACCCCGACATATTCAGTCCTACTGTAGACATGGTGGTTTCCTGTCCTAGCAGGGAGCTTCCTGCCTCCCCACAATCTCGGGGCTCAGGGCTTTGGGCACTGAGCTTCATGCCCAAAGCAGCCAATTCTCCCACAGTCCCCAGTGTCCTGGGCAGAGGTGTAGCAATTCGGCCTGTACTGCGTGGCAGGAGGTGGCCGGCTCCGAGTGGACAGTCACAGCCTGCCAATTCCATCCGCTTTTCTGGAGAAAACACCCGCACCTTGGTGGGCGTCTGGGATGAGAAGCCTGGGGGGATTTTCAGGTGCAGATCCACTACCTCTGGGCAAATTCTCAGGGTCAGAGAGCAGGTCAGAGGGGTGTAGGGTCAGACTGCGTGAGTGGACACGCAGCTGTTTAGGGACTGTGGACTTTCTGAAGCTGTGTGGCGAGGGGAGGACATCAGGGTTGAGTGAAGAAGGGAACACCCACCACATGCTGACGTGTCGAGCCATGGAAAGCACTTTAATGACAATTGGCATCACAGGTATAAATAAGTGTCTCTTTTCCATCTGGAACATGTGTTAGAAGTTTCTTTCGAAAAGGTTCAGCTAAGGTTACGAGGCTCCAAGGACCCTGTCTTAGCTACTGATTTTAGTAATTAAAAAAATAAAAGCAAGAAGCATCTCTGTGTCCTGCCGCAGCTCCCACGGGACCCCCCAGTCTCCAGCCCGGCTCCCCCGGGTCAGAGCCACCCACACTGGCCTCGTGCAGAGGGCAGCACTGACCTCTGGTTGCAAGCGCTTTGTGCTGCGCTGCTGGGCACGGAGCTGAGAACACAGCAGGTTGGCAATCTGACACAGGTTTCTCTCTGCGCTGCTGCTGGGTCAGCCCTCCTGCGGGGGGGGGGGGCTGCCCCCCCTCAGTGTCCGTCCTTCACCACTCTGCTGTCCGGCTGCCCCACGAGGCTGATGCTGACCAACTTGTGGATGGAGCTGGTCCCATGTGGCCGCCCCCTCGGTACGGGATGGGGTGCTGGCTAGTGAGCCCCTGTGCAGGCCCCTCCCTGGGCCAGGGGCTGGTCAAGGCAGCCCCCCCTCCCCCCACCAGAGACCGTGAGTTAAACCTGCAAATATCAACAGGCTGGAGGGACACAGAAAAACACCCAACTCACTAATAAAAGGACAAATTCATTGTCATGTTCCCAAGAATTCGCCAAATGAATAGGAAGGTAATTTGTATTTCATTCAATCCGCAGAAATAAACACTCAATGTAAAATCAAACGGCATCTAGGGCACGACGAGAAGGAAGGGGTGGGGCAGGGGCGTGTGGGAAGAGGAGGGAAGATGACCGGGTGTGGGCAGCTGACCTTGCCAGCTCACCTTCCCGGGGTACGGGAGCGTGGGGGACAAGGCCTGCCCCTTGCGCACCCCACTTTTAGGTTTAGCTTCTTAATTAGAAATATAAACAGATGATTATGTCGGTCTCTTTTTATTTGTCTTTTTGCATTTTTTAACAAATAATTTTTGGTAGCTCGTTTGTGTTCTATCACGGTTCATAAAATAATAACTTTCCCACTTTGCTCCGCCTGCTTCAACAGCTCCCTCCTGGGCCTGTTCCTTGCCCTCCCGGGCCCCGCCATCTTGGATGCTAAGAAACCTTGGTTATAAAAAGTCCCTTCTGGCTGCAGAGCTCCAGGGGTCCAGTCCTGCAGGGACACCCCCACCGGGTGCCCACCCCCCGCCCCACCCCCGGAACCGCAGACCCTGGGCCCTACACCTTATCCTTGAGCTTCTCCAGATAGTCTCTGAACTCCGCGGGGGTGCCCGCCTGGGGGCAGCCCCACTCCACACCCTCACTGTGGCCGCCCAGGATGGAGTTCACAGTGGGGCAGCCGTCATCAGAGGGGATGGTGGTGAAGGTGGTGAACTTCACCTTCTTCCTCTTGGAGGTGGGTGAGTGTGGCGCCTCTGGCCTCTGCTCTCGGGCTGGCCTGTCCACTGCCCTGAGGCTCTGGCTGGGTCCTGGCGGCTGGGAGCCACCGTTGAGCAGCAGGCGGTTGTTCTCCTCGCTGCCCCCCAACCCCCGGTCGAGGACGGTCGTGTGCTCGGCGGGTGGACAGCCATCGCCCACGCTCTCCAGGAGCTCGGCCTCGTTGCCCAGCCACACCCAGTCGTGAGAGTGGGTCATGGAGGCCTGTGCCTCCAGGGGCACCTGCTTGTGCCTGTACTTGAGCGCGAAGGTGGCACAGTTGATGAGGAAGACCAGGATGGCCAGGCAGAAGACACCCAGCAGCGCGTACATGCCGATCTCCAGGTCACTCAGGCCCCGCGGTGTGGGCACCAGGCCGTTCTGCAGCCCAGCCCCCACCTGGGGCAGGTCCACCTGGGCCGGGAAGTTGGTGAAATCGAGGGGGATGGTCTGCAGCTGGCCCTCTCCGGGCAGCCTGTCGGGCCGGCCGGCCCTGGCCGCTTTGTCCTGAGGGGCCCGGGCCGTGGTGCTGGGCCTGCGCAGGGCCCCTTCCTGGCGCTCCAGGGAGGGACTGCCGTGCAGGGGGTCCTGGCCCTCGCGCTCGGGGTCCGGACCCCTGTGCCGCCGCTCGCTGGCGTGGTTCTCAATATCACTCCCATCACTGTCCCCACCAGGGCCGCCATCGGCCTCACTGGGGCCAAACTTGACCCCGACGTGGCCAACACCGACAGCCAGGACACTCTTGCGCTTGGACTTCTGGCAGGCCTCCGCGATAGTCATGTCTACCCGCACCAGCGGCCCCTGGCCCTCCCCTTCGGCCACCACCACAGGCCACTGTGGAGAGCGGGCCTGGGGGGTGGACACAACAGCTTCATCCAGAGAGGTGGCCGTCAGGGTGAAGTCCTTGGCATCGTAGATGTCCAGGACCGCTACGGAGCCATCGCTGAACTGCAGCCATGTGCTGACTACGGCTTCCTGCAGGGGGACAGGTGGTTAGGACACTTGTGGGGCACGGATCTTCCTGGGGAGCCCAGCCAGACCCTCTGGAGCCAGCTCTCAGGGCCCTATATCCACAGAGGGTGAGCCTGGGGAGGACATGCTGGCCTTAGCACAGCAGCAGGCCCTCCAGCACCTCTTACGGCCCCCAAGCCTGGGGGTGCAGTCAGGTCCCACCACATCATGAGGTCAGCCATGATGACCAGGGTTTTGTCACCTCAGCTTGAAGCTGAGAGACTTCTCTGGCTGGGGGCAGAGGGGAAGACTCACTGCATGAGGAGAGTCAGGCACAGAGCTGGAGCTGAGGACGATGGAGTGATACAGGCTGTGGGAGTCCTCAGGTTGTGAAAGGGGCCCACCTGCCGCTGACAATAGCAGACACCTCAATCTGCAAGGGCAGGCTCTGGAGCAGTGGGCAGGCCCCCACAGGGCAGCAGTCAACTGACCCTGTGGTTCAGCAGCCCAGCATGGACCCCCGTGAGCTGTCAGGTCTGTGCAGTGACACCCAGTGTGGGTGACCACACAGTAGGTGACCAGGCACCGTCTCAGCCCTGCACACAGTTCAGCGGCCACATGCCATCCACGCAGCTGGCAACCCTGTTTGTGCAGCCTTTGCATTGTGGTCTTGGGGCTCTCTGTCTCCCCTCACCGAGTGCTGCCACACCCACACCCTGCACATCATGTTCCCCCCCACCCAGAGACGCTGCCATCAGAGCAGGGGGGCACAGCAGGTCGAGCCTGTTTGGCCCCTGGGTCCTGTTCTTCCTGGCCCATCCCAGCCACAGCAGGATGCCCCTCCAGCAGTGTCCAGTCCTCTGTGGGGGGCTCCCTCTGAGCCTGCACTCCACCAGATGCCCCCACTGGTACACATCACCTGCAAAACCAGGGGCTTCCATCATGGGGGCAGAGTGGGAGCGGTTCTGGGCACTCTAGCTCTGTCTGTGCTCTTGCCACAGGCAAATGTCCCTGCAGGTCAGAGGAGCTGCCCACCTATGGGGTGGGTGGCAGAGACTTAGCCAGAGCAGGTGGGGGCCTCGCTTGCTTTCCTTTGCTCCTTCATTATCTGTCCAGCCCAGCTCAGGGAGTCTTCGCTGACTCAGCCAATACTTGCTGGGGACCCACTGTGTGCTGGCTGAGATGGACACCTACTATGCGCTGACTGTGACTTAGAGGGAGCCTCTGTCCAGTGCTCACTTCCCTACAAGCTTGCATTCCATGGCAGGGCCACAGAACCAACAATCACACACAGCCGTGTGTGACTGGCATGGTGAGGTCTGGGGGGGGGGGGGGCAGTGCTGAGCTGAGAGGGAAGGTCTTCACGGGGCAGCAACCTCTTGGCTGAATGCATGGTGTGGGGAAGGGCACCGACAGCTCAGTCTGAAGGGAGCTCAGTGGGAGCTCAGTGGGAGCTGCCTGACATTGGAGCGACAAGGGCAGAGGGTTGTGCAGGGCCGGGTGGCAGGACACGCGGACATGGGGAATGCAGACTTCCTGGTACAAGGGTAGCCACGAAGGCTATCACAGGGCCTGGGACTTAAAAGAGCTCTGTATTCTGGAGAGAGATGAGGTGCAGGTGAGCAGGCCACCTGAAGCTTGCAGAGGGGGCCGGGGACCACCCACCTTTGCACTGGCCCTCAGGTATAAGTGGTGCCTGGTCTGTGGTGAGCTGGCCTCCATGCTGGACGTGGGTGTCTCCTGCCCTGCTGCCCTCCCCTCCTGCCTCCCCATCCTGGCATCCAGCCTTACCTGTTTGGGGGTCCGCAGCAGCTCATCTGCCGTGGCCACAGCTGTGATAGTCTTGCTGTTCTCCCCGCTGGGGTACAGGGTGGCAGACAGCCCTGCCACAAGCTGGATGGCCAAGTCTGTCACCGATACCTTGTCATCCAGCACGGTCACCGTCTTCTCTGCCAGGATGGAGTCAGATAGAGGGGACAGCACCTAGGCAGGGCACACAGACAAATCCAGCACACGACTCCAGATGTGGCGCCCTTCTCCATGCCTCCGACATTCCTAGAGGCCCAGAATCCAGGACAGGGGGAAGGTGCCCTATATCTATTCCACCACAGACACTGGGCCTCTGTGAGAACCAGAGACCGTCACTTTAGTTCTACCTGCTGGAAAATTAAAATAAAAATGAACAAGGAGGCCTCCTTGTGCAGTGCGCAACCTGGCCAGCTGCACACGGCTGCTGACCAGACTCATGAGGAGTTGCCCAGAAATATACTCCATGTAGCCTGAATCCCACTTGACAGGCACCCAGCGTTTACTGGGGGAACTGGATTGTAAACACTTTGCCCCCAGCTCCCAACATAATATGCCCTCTGCTTCTTCTCAGAAGCCAAATGTTGCACTTGCACTGCAAGGTCATGTGGCAACGGTGTAGTAATCATTTCTACACATAGTGGTGGGATGTGGGTTCAGAAGGACATTCTAGGAGCTGGGGAAAGGCCCTCCATGCCCCTGCCATCTGTGCTGAAATCCCACCTCCTCCAGGCAGACCTTTTGGATTCACTATCTGATCACTACAGTAAAGTGACAGTCACAGTAAAGCAAGCCCCAGGTGGGTTTTGGTCTCCCAGTCCTGGGAGAGTCACATTTACACTACACTGGTCTGCGGCATGCATGTCAGCATTCCATCTCAGAAGACAACAGAGAGGCCATAATTGAAAAAAAAAATTGCTGGAAAGGGCCAGCCATCTGGGAGCTGTTGTTTTTTTGCTGGGAGAAGGTCTTGTGAAAAGTGCCTGTTCTGTGAACCTCTGTGCATTTTCTCAAGCTAAAGACAAGCACAGGGCATTGAGGGGCTTGTTGAAAGGGTGAGCAATGAGAGGAGAGGAAGGTGGTAGGAGCAATGCCCAGGGGAGTGAGGCATTTTCTTAGGGGTGTCAGTGCAGAGACTCAGGTGGGATGGGCCTGGGGGAGGGGATGGGAATGGAAGAGTCTGCAGTGAAGAGGTCATGGGGCGGGGGCAGTGTGGCAACCATCAGTCTCAATTCTGCTCGGAGGGAGACCGGAATGACAGGGCTCTGGTTCCAGGCTTGTGGTGTCCGCAGAATACCTCCACATAGGTGAGAACTGGACACAGGGGCTCACCCTTGCATCATCCCAGGTTTGCCTTCTTTGGGAACCATCAACAGGTGCCTGGCAGCCACCTGCTGCTGTCCATGGTGCTGAACCTCTTGGTTATTATCAGGCTTCCTTCCTTGTATATCTGGCTGGGCCTGGCCCTGGCAGGTGCTACACAATCAAGGCCACTCTTCTGGATGGAGGATGAGGTGTGCTCTCCCCACCCCCACACAAAGCAGACCCACAGAGTCCACAGCAAGTACACCCTGAATGAAGAGGAGTTAATAGCAGAGGCTGTGGGACATGTGGGTCTGGGTGCCAATGTCATCTCTATCCACCCCTCATTCATTTCCTCAATGTTGATCAGTGAGAGTGGAGAAAATTCCGGGTGCTTGGGGATACAGAAGTGACCCAGGCAGACAGAAACCCCTGCTCTCCTGGGGCTCCACTACCCCCATGCACGTTGAGCAGGCAGGACCCCCGTCTCCAGCCTCCTACCTGGATGGTGGTCATCCCAGCCTCCCGCCCGACCAGGATCCTGCTGTCTTCAAGTGTGGCCACATGTGGCTCCTCCAGCTTCATGAAGTCGGCCACCAGATGGGTGATGTCCACCTGCCAGTCTGGACTGAGCAAGTGGCTGGGTGGTTCCCAAGGGCCGGCACCCTCAGCCACAAACTGAGTGAGCACGCGCACCGTGGCACGCTGGTACTGCAAGGCACAGCCCCGGCCTCGCCGCTCATCCTCGTCCTCGTCCTCACTGTCACGTGTGGGCCTGGAGAAGGAGGGTCTCAGCTTTAGGGAACAAGTCAAAGGGACTGTGCCACTCCAGTCCCCAGAAGCAGCTTCAAGGCAGCCTGCAGCCACCTGGGTATAGTGGCTACACTGTATGGATAAACAGAGCTTATATTTGCTGCATAGTCATATGTGTTAGTGGCTACCACATCAAATAGCATGATTCTAGAACATTCTGCCACTGCAGGAAGTTCTATGGGGAAGAGATGTATTTCACTCTGGAGATGTGCCAGGGCCCATTCTGAGCTCTTGCATCATGAGCAATTCTAATCTCATAATGCTGAAGCAAAACTTAATGATCCCCATCCAGCTCACCTCTTACTGGTCATGATGGGGACCCTCCAGCCTTTAATCTGGTTGAGCTCTGTATCAGACACCTCAATCTGTAGGGGCAGCCGGGGTACCCACACAGTGATGTGCAGAGGGGCACTCAGGTACTGGTATGTGAAATTCACCACCACATCCACCTTCCCTTTCATCTCTTTGCCGTTGACAAAGACGTAGTCACAGCGGTCGGACACCTGCAGAGGCAGAGAGGATGAGGAGACACTCGTGGGGTCCTGGGGGCCACTCTTCCCAGTGTATCCTTTTCTTTTGTAAAGCGCACATGTTCAATGCAGGGTCTTCCAATGCAGAGCCTGAGGCAAGGATTCAGTGCAGCTGGCTTACTTGGGAGGTGGCCGAGAGAGCATAGGGAGGGAGACAGGAAAAGGAAAAGCCAAAAAGACATGCAGTTTTCATTGGCTGTTGTGACCACTGGGCTATGGGATCACATGAAATTCTACACACTCATCCACCTGAAAACAAGAGGTGGGCACATTATCCACCAGCTCCTGCCTCTGGCGGAGCAAGTGAGGGCTGCTCTACAAGTTCATGCCCTTGCACGTCCAGGCTCAGGTGCTGGCCCGTGGCATCTGAGGAGACCTAGCAGAATGCAGCTAGAAGTTCAATTTGGTGCAGTCACAAAGTGGAAATAAACTCACATGGAACTGCAGCTGAGACTGTCACTTTGCATCAGAGAGGCCACATGCAGCCCTCTGCCTCCAGCACTTGGGGTCCCCAGGGCTCACGCAGACCCTCCTCCTAAGCAGGATTCTCAATGTTCCAACTCCCCACTCTCCCCCAGCACAGCCCCGTGGGTTGCCAGGATACCTCCGTCTCCATACTTGTAGCTCCCCTGATCCAGAGCTGTGTGACCTCATTCAAGTGTTCCTGGGAGGCACCCCCAGCCTTCTAGGATCACTATTGTATTTGCATTGTAATATTCTTCCCATGTATGAATGGCAGAGTCGCATTAGGGACCAAGTTTCCTTCCTGCATACTTCTCCTCTCCCCATCTGTAGACTATAACAGAGGTAACAAACGTGGACACTGTGATAGGTGTCCCCAGGAACCATGAACATTCCATGAGCCCCTCTGCCAAGGTCTTGGCAATAGTTAAGAAGCTAAAAATTAGACTGGGGTTATGTTCTGTTACCTGAGAAAATTGAAAACTGAAAATAGAAGTTGGGTTATAGAGAAATAACATCATCCATCTTACATAATGAAGTTTATGAAATGTGATTTTAACTGACCCCATGAGTCCATATCACCCTTAAACTATGAAATCCTCAAAGTCAAGAAGTATGTGCTTTTCATCTTTGATCATTTGACTCCTTATGATAGTTACTCATGACACCGGAGCTCAGGCAAATGGATACTGAAAGGACAGAAGTGTGGGTGGGTGGGTGGGTGGTGGATATGTACATGGAAGTGTACATGGATGGATGGATGACGGATGGGGGGTTGGATGGATTCAGGATGGATGGAAGGAGGATGGATGGATGGAGGGTGAAGGATGAAGGATGAAGGATGGATGGAAGGAGGATGAATGGATGGATGGATGGATGGGAGGATGGATGGATGGGAGGATGGATGGATGGAGGGTGAAGGATGAAGGATGGATGGAAGGAGGATGGATGGATGGATGGGAGGATGGATGGATGGGTGGGAGATGTATGGCTGGGAGGATAGATGAACAGGGCCCCCTTTCGTGGAGGTGTTTGCTTCAAAGCAACAAAAGATCGTGGGGGCAAAAGAGGGGTGTGAGAGATTGAGAGAAGATGGAGACAAGAGCAGCAGAAACATAAGAAGTTAACGTGAAAGCTCCCCAAAAGCTGTCAAGCAGTGCTTCCTGACCTTCTGGGGTCACAGGCTCCTTTGGAAACACATGCGAAGCTGCTCCTGGCCTGTGCATCCCATTCGTGTACCATTTCAGAGTTAATGAAATCGCTCATGGCCCTTCACAGAGCACTTCCCGCACTCAGCCATAATTACCAATTTGCTTATCTGTCTCCTGTCCAGATTGTAGGCTCTGGAAGGAACAGCGTCCCTTTCGGGGGGTCCGTGGACCCAGTTCAATAACACCCGATGCTGGGCAATGAAATCTTCCCTTTCCCCAGCTTCCAGTAATCTTGGATGGCTACTCAGGGCCCAATTTTTATCTTCAGCTCATGCTCTTGCTTGGAGGGGCAGCTGGCGAGGGCCGGGCTGAGAGAATTTCCTCCATCTGCCGGGGACAGCAGTGGGGAACAGTTGGGAGGGGAACACGTGACCACATCTTCACGCTCTTGGTCAAGAGGGGTTTGAAAATGTTTACATGCTGATTAAGGGAGGAAACCAATTTCAGTAGCTCCCTCAGACTTGTCATTAGCATGTAAACACTGTCCTGGACCCACACAGCATTAGCATAATAGCCCAGCAAGAGTGATATCAGTAATCACTTCTTTAATCAATGTTGTAATTTACAGACCATTGACTTTCCTCATTTATTACCTTCCCAGCCGCTGGTGGGAGGGAACCTGGCCACTCCAGAATATATAAATAATTAAAAGGAACACAAGGAAGGGTCCGGCATTGTAGTGCATGATGGAGCCACACTGCTGCTGTTCCAGAAGATGCTGTCAAGGTCCGGGGCCCTCCAGGGCTGTGTCCGTCACCTCCTAAGTGGCCCACAGTGGGAGAGGCTAACTGAGCTGGCTCGACTGTGCACAGCAGCACCAAGGCCCCTCAGGGATCTTCTCAGCCCTTGTCTTTGCTCTGGGATCTCTTTACTCATACTTGTGGGGGGCTGCCCATTGAGAACCCCATTTGCCTCTGATGCTGTAACCCTGCTGGTTGAGTGCATGGGAGCAGGTGGACTGGCCACGTGGTGGCTTGGAGCTGGTCATGGGGATTCCGACATAGCAGCCAATAGTCAGTGGATGCTTCCATAGCCACCCAGGCTCTGGAAACACCCAGTGACATCACCTGCTCCTAGGGAAGGGGGCTCTTTCTGAGGGGCAGCAAAGGCGTCTCTGGTCAACCTCGAATGTCTGAGACTTCTGTCTGAACCTCCGAGCTGAGCAGCTTCTCGGGGGTACGAACCAGGGGGGGCTTGTCAACACAAACTGTGGGCCTCGGATTCTACAGCTCTGGGGAGGGGACCCACTTCCAATAGGTTTCTGGGTAATGCTGATGCTGCAGGTCTGGGGACTGCTTTGCTTCTTGACTTGAGGCAGCTGCCTCTCTGTGGCTCCGTGGCCCTGTTTCTGCTTGGCTGCTGAGAACAGACCTGCTCCAGGGTGCACACAGACAGCCACTTCTTTCTCACAGCTCTGGGGCTTGAGTGTAGGCTCAGGGTGCAGCAGGATGGCAGAGCCCGCTTCCTAGCTCATTACACAATCTCCTTGCTGGGTCCCCATGGAGTGGCAGGGCTGGAGTTTTCTGGGGTCTCCTCTATCAGGTCTCCATTCTTGGGGCTCCACTCTGATGCCATCACAAGGGGGCTAGTGCTTCAACCCAAGAGTTAGGGCACACGGACATTCAGTCCAGAGGAGAGCCTCTCAGTGCAGTGCTGCTCCGTGCTGACCACCCTGTAACTGGCCTCTGCGTGCGCAGAGTGCAGCCTTGCCTACGTCTCCAGTGAGCCCCTCAGGTCTGGTGTGTGGAGAAATCAGTGACTCTGAGCCCACGCTATCTTGGGGTCCGTGTGGGGGTAGCTGGGCACCTGCTTGCCTTTCCAGGAAGGGCCCCCAGGGCACCTCCCACTTTGGGCTACAGGTTCAAAGCATCACAACTGATGAAACTAGGCTGGCACAAGGGCAGAACAGTGAGAAGCAAGGTGGATGACAGCGGCCCAAGTGAGGGGAGTCCGAGCCCCACTGTGCCCCGTGGCTCCCTGGGCCACCTGCTCAGCCAACACTGTCGTCCTTCCACATGGCCAGCGGTGTGCACTCACCTTGACCACGTCCTCGGCTGTGGACTTGCACTCCACCAACTCTGAGATGTCGGCCACTGTGCCGTCCTCCTCCACCGACACCACCTTGACGGGCACGGCCACCGTCTTCCCCGTGAGGATGGCCGTGTTCAGGATTTCTGTGTCCTGCCAAAGGAGCACATGCGCCTAGTTCAGGGGTATACTCTCCTTGTGGGGGCTGGGAGACTTCCAGGACCCGTCCCCTTGTGAGCCGGACACAGCAGCGCCGCCTCAGGCGGCGGCAAACGGGTCATCTTTGGGACAGTTTCCCAGCAAATTTAACAATTTGCTTTTGTGCCTGATGATGATGACAGAGTGGGTAAAGGTGGTGTGGACACACCGTGGAATACTACTCAGCCCTGAAGAAGAAGATATCTTACCACTGTGACAGTAAGGGTGGACCTTGGAGGGAAGATGTGCAGTGAAATAAGTAGACAGAGGAAGACAAACACTATGTGTTCACTCAGATGTGGAATGGGAAGAAAAAAATCCAACAAGCAAAACCAAAATAAACCTTTAGATGCTGACAATAGAAAGGTGGTTAGTGCTGGGGAAGATAAGTGGAAGGCTGATGGGTGGGTGGGGGCTGACACCTGGTGGTGGGTACGCTGAGAACCTATCCACTGAACGTCATCCAGTGTGGTCCCTAATGTCACCTCGATATATAAAAAAAAAAAGAAGTAAATGAATCTAAAATAAGCCCAAACCAAGACAGCAAAAAGCAATTTTTAGTCTGTGTACAATCACCTCTCTAATTTCCAATATTTATCCTTCTTCTCTTCTGCAAGTAGACATCTCATGCCAGCTGAGTTTCAGTTACCACAGAAGGTCTGGGCAAGTTGGGGGGAGGAACGTGACACTCCAGCCATGCAAGATGCCCAGGCAGCACCTGTGCACCTGCTACTTACCCATTAGAGGGACTTTTCAGTCATGAATAAGTTGAGGTTCTGGAGATGGGGAGACAACCTAGGATCCACTGTGATCACAGGGTCTTTGTGGGGGGACAGGAAATCAGAGGAAGTGAAGGAGGCCAGGCGAGGGAGGCCAAGGAGAGATGGGATCACGACCTGGGAGATGTGGTATCCCCTAAAGCTGAAAGGGCACGACTTCTTCCCTGAAGCTCTAGGTGGGGTCCACCTGCATTTTAGCCCCACTGGGCTCATGACTTCTGGTAGCCAGAACATCAACATCTGGGCTATTTGTTAGAGTAGCAACAGGACACAGGTGCTTTGGGAGATGCTGGTCACTCACAGGGTCAAAGAAACAGCCACAGACGGTTCTGGGGAGGAACGGTCTCTGGGGGAGACCGAGCTCTGTGGGGCTGTGGGAGGTCTGCGTGCTCCCCCTCAGGGAGGTGCCTGTCCCTGTGCAGAGAGGAGTGGGCCCGAGGCTGATGACCGTCTCCTTCCTAGACAGGCCAGTCTCGGGGGACCTCCGGCCCCTGCTGACCCCAGCCGCCCTGTACCCCTTACCACACCACGGCAGCCTCTGCTGGCTTCCCCCCACCACAGGGGCCCAGGTCACCGGCCAGCTCAGCCCTAAGAACACCGCAGGGACCCCACGTCCATTTCCAGGTTCATTGCAGGTAGTGAGCGCGAGTACCACCTCCACATGGCCCCCACAGGACGCACAGCTAATGGCTTCACAGAGCAGCAGGAGCCCGGCAGGTTAATTGGGGCTGGTTTCTAATGGCCACTGCAGACCCACACGCCCACGCACCACTGCACCACACACCCAACACACCCCACAAACACCACACACACAACACACCACACACACACCACAGATACCACATACCCGCAGACCACACCGCACCACACTACACACACCACACACGCACCCCCCACATACCACAACACCACCCCACATACTCACAGACACCACACACCCACACATGCACCATGCACGCCACACACCCACACTGCACACTCCCCATACCCTGCAAACATACCACACACACACACGCACACGCACACACGCTCTGTCCCGTAACACCCTTCATCTACACTGAGCACAGTGAGGTGGCCACTGCTGGGCACCTGGGCCCTCACCGGCTGGCACCATCCAGGAGCAGAGAGTCAGAGTCTCCAGTAAACTGGCCTCACGCCTCGGCTCCGGGACAGACGCCACGTGGCGCAGGGAAGATCCCGCCACGTCCAGGGCGTGAGGCTGCGGTATGGCTGCCTGCTCTGTGCCTCCCAGTCTGTGGGACCTGGGGTCCCTCTCTTAACTGGGATCTGCATTTCATTTTGCAGATTAGGGGTTCGGACACCAAACCCTGGAAGCCTGAGACCCTCCAGCCCACAGATGCTGCTATGCGCCAGGCGGGTCTTGTTGCCGGGCATAAAGCAGTGGCTGGGGGCCCGGGCCTGCTCTGGACAGGGGCGTGGGGGGAATGCTGGTGCCAGCAAGGCCTCTCAGTGGCCACCATCCAACTCGAGTCAGTCTCAGCAAAAATGGGGCCCTTGGCCTGGCCTAGCTCTGTCACCCCAGACTCCCTCCCAGATTCTACCCAGTAAGGTCCTCAAAACACAGAATTACTTTCTGACCCGAGGCAGTCATGGGCTGCTCCCCGGGGTGCAGAGCCAGGCCCTCTCACACAGCAACAGAGTTAGCCAAGGAAAAAATACCCCAGGCAAACTAGGGTGTTTTCCCAAAGAGTCTGACAAGATGCTCAGCACCCCAATCTGGGACACGGCAGCTTAGACCCTGGGAGTCCCTTCTGCCTGCTGCCTGAGGACACACTGGAGGGTGAGGAGACCCCACCCTCGGGCACCATAGGTCGGATGGGAACTGCCAAAGACACAATGGGAAGGCACAGAGGTTCCCGGGTTTCGGCCAGAGCTGCCCCCACCCCCGCCCCACGCATCTACCCATCTGTACCTGGGAGGACTCGTGCCCAGGGCTCTGTTCCTGTATGCAGGGCCCACTCTGCCATGTGTGGAAACAGCCCACATCTGTCTGCAGCGGAGGTCAAAGGAGCCCTGCATGGGAAAGGGCTAGCTGCTGCCACTACCCCTAGCTGCTGCCCACACTCGGGGGGCAGGGGGTTTTGCAGGGCATCGTGTTGAGATGGGGGCCACAGGCCCTCTCGCCTTTCTGGGGTTGGCCCTGGGTGTGGAGTTGGACCCATGGGGCAGCGGAGCTGGGGGCCGCCAGGGGTCAGCGATGTGACGGGGCATCAGGGCCATGGATAAGGTGTGCCCAGGGCAGAAGTGGAGGCTGGGCTGGATGCCACCAGCTCTGGGTTCCTGGCACGCGCTGAGAGCCGGGTCTCTGTGTTCGCAGCGCAGGCGCTAGAGGCAGCCAGGTGGGGGACAATGATGACCTGACTGGTCATCTCCCCCACATGCCCATGCAGCGCTCACACACCTTAACTACGCATGATGTTACCATGTCAACATATCTCAGTAAAACTGGGGGAAGGCTGCATCCTCCTGGTGCAGTCTGTCACAGGGGTTCCCTGGGAAAAGGGGAGGCTCCAGGTTCCCTGCCCCCCCCCCCCGCCCCGGAAAGAGGGTGGAGCTGAGCAGAGGAGAGAGGAATCTGGAGAGGAGACTGAGAAGAGGGAATCAGGATGGAGCCAGAAGGAGGCCTGAGGGAGGCACAGGGAGCAGGGAGCATGTGAAGAAACTGTCTTGTTTCATGGCCCAGGACTGGTGGAAACAGATGTGGGTGAGAGACCCGTGGGGAGGTGACTATGGCAATGTTTGATTTTGATTTTGATCTTTTCATCCCAGACTTATCTGGCCATTTCTGACCCTTTTCTATGGGCCCCGGCTGGAAGGTGATTTAACCTTGTGATGGGCTTTCAGGCCTCGTTTTGGGCCAATCCCTTTTGGGTGGACTTTTACCCATGAGGGGAAGAGTGACTTTGGGTGTTTGTTTTAGGAACTATATTCTTTATATTTGCTGTATTACACATTAATTGTATTAAAGTTCCTTTCCATGAAAGCTCTTATGTCTTGTCTTGAGGCGGCGGATGGCAGAACCTATGTAGAGCAGGCAAGTTCAGGGCGTTCAGGAGTGCCTCTCTCCCTGCCCTGTGGCAAATTCCTCAGCGTTGGTGCTGTGACCACATCACATCCCCTCTTGGGCAGTGGGCAGCCACGGCCAGGGTGGTGCTTTCTGTGCGTGGACGCTTCTGCTGCTTCTCCTGCCCTCCACCCCCACAGCGTAACCCAGAGCATTGCGTTGTGGGAAGGATCAATAAAACCAGGTACTTACAGTCACAGCCACTTCAGATTTGGAAAAGGCCTGAGATCTTTTCTGTTTTTGATTTGTCTTCATACATGTAAATTGGTTGGGCTGTTTTCTGTATTTTTACAAATTGTAGTTTAATGTTTAAATAAGAGAAGTGCAGATTCCTCTTGTCGGCCTGAAGGCTGTGCTGTGCATGGACGCAGAGCTTTTAGGAAAACAAGGCTGGCCCAGGGGGTGGAGGTTTGTCCCAGGTGGGGAGTGAGGTGCCCCAGCAGACGGCCCACACCCCACATTGAGCCAGAGAAAGAAGGAAACCTCAGCACATGCCCAGTGCCCTCTGCAGGTCCAGGTCTTAGAGCCCTGCTCAGCCTCACCACTCCCCTTCTGTCTCCTTCTGTCTGGTCTTCAGCTCCCCGTGGGGCAGGCACTGTCCTGTGTTCTGCCCATGACCAAAGGCCCACTGTGCGCTGGACTCTGGGCCACACTGGACAGGATGGTAGCTGGGTCTCTTTGGCAGCTGGCACCTCCTACATGCAGGCTGCCCTGGGGACTGGTGAGCCTGCCTGCAGTCCAGCTCCTCCCCAGGCCTTGAGGAGGTGAATGGAATTCTCCAGTCACAGTTGCAGATGTAGCTGGGCTTTGAGCAGTGCTGGGTTGGGCAGGGCAGGGAGCTGACAGGGTGCAGAGGCAGGTTAGGGTGGAAGTTCCGTTACCAGCTCATAGTTGACGCTGGGGTGGTGATGGACTGCTTCTGAGAACAGATTTTTGAAAAATAAATTAATTAAATTAATGCAAATGTTTGCAGAGAGGAAGGCACCAGCCACGGCCCACCAGGCAGCTTTCTCGGCACAGCTGGCTTCTGCAGGCTGATGAACAAGTTGCATGGGCCAGAGCCTGCTCATGGTCTGTTTTTATATGGACTC